ACAAGAACTTTTAAATAGTTAATTTAATATTAATATTGATATATTTATTTTTGAAATTTTATGATATTTTAAATTTATATTTTATTTAAAAATAAAAACATTATATTTTTCTCAAAACACATAAAAATCGTATTAAAACATTTATAAAGACAGAATAAAACGTAATATTTACCTCCCTGCATTACACGAATACCATTTTAGTATTATTTATAGTTCTTCTTTTTTATTTTTTTAATAGGTGGTGTAAATAACTAACCCCCTTACAAATCCGCATAAACTTCACCGTACGCTTCAGTTTTGTGGCCTTGTCCCCGCTCGCCTGCATCAGAACCCTAAATACTGAAAAAGAAAACAAATCAAGTAGCATTCCTATCCCAATCCAATCCAATCCACACTCACCCCCCTCCCAAAAAAAAAAAAACGTAAACTCAGCTTCAATATTTCATTACAGAAAGCATTCATGGGGGAAGGAAAGCAAGGTGTTTTGGTGGTGGGTCAGCAGAACCCGGTGACGCAGCTGCAGACGAAATACAAAGAATTTGAGACCCTTTTCAAGACTTGGCTTGCCAAACAGTCTTTACCCGTGGAGGCTGCCGTCGTCACCGCCACCAGCGCCCTCCAAGGTGCCGCTATCGGTGGGTTTATGGGTACTCTTACCAACGATGTCTCATCCGCTTTTACGCCTCCAACACCCCCAAACGCCTCCCTTAGTCCTCAGGCTAGAGCCTCCCTTCAGCAAGCCCAGGTTACTATATGTTTTCTCCTTTCTTTACCGTTCTTCAATTTTGGTTCATTTGAATTTTAGATTTCAAGGGTTTGGGGTTTGTTAGTTTCGTTGATTACTAGAGTTATCTTTATATATACCCCTTTTCTTCAATAGGTTTGGGGGAATTCGATAACAAGATTCAAGTCTGTTGCTTTGTTGACACTTGAATTTAAACCCCAGAGCTTGATATGAATTTTGTTTTAAATCATAATAAAAATCTATTGTCTCATCACACCTCCAATCTTCTATTTGTACCACTTATTTCGAAAACTAATGTGTTTATCCGCATTAAGTTTATGAACTCATAAAACATTTTAGCTGAAATTAACCCTTTTGAATTCTTTAGTCAAAGTGCATCACTTCTTTCAATGAATAGAAATGTTTTATCTTTTTGGGATTGGGAAATGAACACTTCTCTGTATAGAATTCGATTTTTGAGTTGGAAAGGAACTTTTTGGTTGATGAATATGAAATTGAACTTTCGGAAGTGGTTTTATTGGCAGCGATAGGACAAGCAAGTCTTTATGTAATAATGAGTATTTGCATCTATAATGTATGTAACTGGTGCTAGCTTGTATGGTTGCGTGAATTTAAATCTGAAATCATGTAATTGGAAGTCGGAAATAGTATACTGATAAGTTTTTGAAAATCTTTTGCTGTATGCACAGGCTCTTTCAGGCGGGCCCTTGATACAGGCTCGTAATTTTGCTGTTATGACGGGTGTTAATGCTGGCATATCTTGTGTCATGAGAAGATTAAGAGGCAAAGAGGACGTCCAGACCAGGTAAGCTTAGGGGTAGGCATTAGGAAAGTAGTTCCCTCCTCTCATTTTAAAAAAATGAACGGCCCAATTCTCATAAAGTTCCCTATGCTATGTGGGTTTGCCATACATGCCTGCAAATCAATATATATAGTAGAAGTGTATTTCTCCCTTGTATGCAACTTATTAGACAACACTATTTCCTTGGTATACAGGGGACATGAAAATGATGTTTTCAGTTTGATTTCATATTGATCTATGTGTACATTGCAGTATGGTGGCAGCTTTCGGTTCTGGAGTCATGTTCTCATTGGTTAGTGGTATGGGGGGTCCTAATCAGGCTGCAAATGTGATCTCATCTGGTGTTTTCTTTGCACTCATGCAGGGTGGACTTTATAAGGTGATTTAAATTGCTTCATCCTTTTCAATTCCCCTTTGGGTGTGTGTTTGAGCTTGTTTGAGCTTTGGTAGGACCAATAGTGCTGCTATGTGCCTCTAAACAGTCCCCAAACTGCAAACTTGTTGATCTTGTGTGTGCTAACCGAAACTATGGTGCTGTTAATATTCATAGTTAGCTATTGATAACCTAATGATAAACCTTTTTGGGTATATCGTATATGTTCTAACCATGAGCTTTTCATCTGGTTGAGACCATACATTTTTTTTACTATTTACATTGGTATACCAATGTTTAAAACAAGGCATCATATGCATCACAAACTTGTACTAGTATGCATTTTAAACTAGAAGATGAATTTACTCGTTGTATCTCTTGAGAAATATGTGCATGGTTTACAACTCATCCATCAAACAAGAAATAAAGCTTATACAGGTAGAAAAAAGCTATCTTTCTGCTCATGCCGATAAACCACTGGCCAACAAAGCAGTTTTGGATTTGGATCAACCTTTAATTGCTTTAAGCATGTTATCAATATGTAGAGGTGTTTCACATTTCTGTCGTGCTCTTGAATGGTTTGCTTTTTGAGCTTGAAAATTCTAATAACGGGTGCTAAGTGCGACCGTTTAGCGAGCGTGGTTTTTCACATAAACAGTCTGTACTCCTTGAGGTGGAGGAAAGATGCCTACATTATTATATCCTCCCTAGACCCCACTCCATGTGGGATTTACTGGGTTTGTTTGGTTTTCTAAGTGCAACAGTTTTTGCGGTTGTGCAGGTAGGGGAGAAATTCTCACAACCCAAAGTGGAAGACGTATTGTATGATAAAACGAGAGGCATGTTAACTAATCTTGGTCTTGGGCATTATGAGAAGAACTTCAAAAAGGGCTTGCTAACGGACAACACTTTGTCATTGCTTACCGATAGGTTAGTAGTAACAACGAAGTCCTTTTCTCATATTCCCGTTTCTCGTTTTCTCTTGGTGTTGTTGATTTATGTTTGTTAAATATATGATATTAATCAGTGCACTGCAAGATGTGAAAATCCCTCCTGGACCAAGACTGCTTATTCTTGATCACATCCAAAGGTCTGAATCTTACTCTTCCATTTTAGGCCAATTCTTCTGCTTCCACATTCTTGAAATCTAATCTGTTTGGTAAAAGGGTGATGGTGAGATTAGACCATTGACCATGGAAACTTGTGTTTTGTGTCAAGGGCCTAGCGGCACCCAAGTTACTGTAGATTCCAACCTTCTTGGAGGTCAAGGGTTCAAGAATGTGACGAGTGTGTGAGTTTTGCTTTAAAACATGTGTTTTGTGTGTGTAGGGAGAAGGAGGTGAAGAAAGGAGGTAGGAGGACATAAGTTGTTGAGGGAGAAAGAAGACTGAAGGGTTTGTTGATGGTGAAGATGTCTGTACTTGCAGGCTTAAAAGCTATGGGATTTTGCATGTAATCATGTATGTAGTCAAATGAAATGTAGCAGACTGCATTTTTTTTCCTTCTAAATCTCAACTAATTTTCATTTGGAACATCAATGGGTACTGAATTTTGGTGTTTAATGGTAATTGCCATAAAATTAGTTATTTTTAATACATGTTATATTGTTCTTTTTACCATTATCTGTTGTCTTTTTAATTTTTATATATTAAATAACTAGGAAAGGAAATGATATATAAAACCAAAAATTACAGTACAATTAAACCATTTGGTCTCTTTTAAAATAATTATAGATTACAGCCCTATGACTTACATTTTATAAAACATTGCCACATATCGTCGTTGCTTCATTTCTTGCGGCTACAATGACCGACCGACGAACTCCACCATCATCGTCCACCTGAACCGTTTGTTGTCTATCATGATGGTAGTGTTGCGATGAGGAGTTCTCTTTGTTGGGGATCGATGGATCCCACGCCGTCTCTTTAGCCCTGTGCCACCGAAACAGAAGTTGCATCACCCCCCCCCCCAAAAAAACCATGTTTTCGTCTTCCTTGTTTTGTGAACCCCACCAAAAGCCAAGCAAAACAGCTACCATAGAACCCGTGACCACCAAAACAAGATGCAACAGAAACATGACAAACCCATATCTGTTACCGATTTTATAACTAGGGAACATTCCACCATCGATCTTCGTCTCTCTTGGATATTAGAAGCAAGGACATCATTGAACATCATCTTCCCCAATTTTTAACAAGAACTCGATCCATCTTTGATTTTATACGCTAAAGATATATTTGTTCTTCTTCTCAGATGATTTTAGGATTTTGATTAAGAAGACATAGTTGATTTAATGTATTAATCTTGAAAAAATGTGTACAAAAGGTTTGTTGTTAATGGTTGATTTCTTCTGTTAATGTGAAATTAATATCGGTTGATGTTTATGATTCTTTAATGAATTGAATTTATCAGGTTAAACATTTACAACGAATTATGTTTTGATTTTGAGATTAAAAAAAGTTGAATATTAATGTCGGAAAGTGGTCATCGGAGAAGATGACTTGGGAGAGTAGGGGTTCAGAATGATACATGGGGTCATTTTATTGGTGCTAAATATGTAATAGAGTAAAGTTTAATTTTTGTAACTTTCAGTGGATATCATCCCTAAATTTTAAAAACTTGGATTTGGTCGTTCACGTTTGTCAATTTCTGATGATTTTGGTCTCTCTTTCTGACGGTCCTGTTTCCGTACCAGTTAAAGGAGGAGTGTTTTAGTTATTTTTACTATTTTCTTAATTTTGTATTAAAATTAAAATAAAAACATACTATATTTTTAATTTTTAATTGTAAAAGGAAAAAAGAAGAAAAGGATAACTATTCGGTTTTTTTTTTTTTTTTTGTTTTACAATTTAAAGTTAAAAATATAATATGGTTTTTTTTATATAATGAAAATAGTAAAAATGATTAAATTTCTTTTATTTAACTGGACTTAATCCATCTAGAAAGATCGTTAGACAAAGGGATCAAACCATTGCAAATTGATAAATATGAGGACTAAATCTGAGTTTTTGAAGTTTAAAGATGTCATCCGTTGAAAATGACAAAAGTTAAGGACCAAAACTAACATTACTCTATATATTATTATAATGGCATATATAGATAGTAAAGTACATGTTTGGTTCCTTTGGTTTTTAAAAGGAAATAAAAAATATAGTAAACTATGGAATTGGTCCCTAGGTATGTTATTTGTTATGCATTTGTTCTTTTATCTTCATTTATATGAATTTGGTCCTTTATATTAACGTTCACCTATTTTATTCGTTAAATACGAAAGTAAATTGGTCTTTTTATCATTTTAATGATTTTTAGATAGTTTTTAACTATTATATGATATTGTATAATAAAACAAACACACACACATATATATATATATATATATATATATAGAGAGAGAGAGAGAGAGAAGTGGTTTATTATGCAACCATCCATATTTATACAACCCTTACAACCAAATCCTAGCCTTTAAAGATTTGATCAATGGTAAATATTTAATCAAGGTAATTAATAGGTTATCTAATTTCTTTTTGATTTATTTTCTTAAATTATATCAAATTAAGGGGTAATTTCAGAAACTAAAAAACTCAGAGTCTAAAGGTTTAATATATGAAGCAAGAATTCTTGAGAACTAAACTCAATCTAAGGCATTAAATTTGTACATTATCAATGGAAAATATTACTTTTTCATGAACACCAATTTACTTATACACGAACCCCAATTTACTTGTGTTATGAAAGTCTCCAAATGATTCATGAATGTGCAAAATTCATTATACTTGTTTCATGAATGTCTCAAAATTCATCATACTTGTTTAATGAAATAGGTTTCATGACCAGATTTTGTTCATAAAATATGCATATTAATTAAATAGGTTTTATGATTAGATTTCATGAACATATTTAACAAATGTCTCATTGAAAGATATAGAATTTAATAGTAGGAGAAGTTGTTTCAGTTCTTGGTTGGCCGATTGCAGCCTGGAACATTTTGTAAAGTATATATAAGTTTTATAATTTCCATAAGTGCTTCAATATTTAATAGGAAATAGAAGGATTCATCATAAATAGGATATAGAATATTTTTAATTAAAAATAGCAATATTATTTAAAATTAGTAAATGACAATATTAACCTTTTCAGTAAAAGAATAATTAAAAAAGCTATCCATTGATTGGTTAGAAATTAGTTGTAAAGGTTGTACAAATGAATATGGTTGAATTTGAAATATACTATATATATATATGGTCAGGTTCAAATATTAACCAAAGTTTTTGTGTTAACTTTGTTAACCAATCTTGGCCGTTGAATCTTTCAATAAACAGTTGTGATTAATCATGATAAAAACTTTTTTTTTTTAAATTTGAAATTTCATAAAGATAAGTGAACAAAGCTGAAAATGGTATTTAGGTAATTCTTTTTATGTAACTCCAATAACATTAATTGGAAGTTACAAAATCAAAAAATCTCATGATTTTTGTTAATGTAAGAATCATATGAATACAACTATATGTATATGAACCATTGTGTCAAATACGAACAAAATATATATATATATATATATATATATATATATATATATATGAACTTGAACTACATAGCATTTACGAACACATTATGAACATAATAAGAATAACTGCTATACGAAAGGAAATAAATAAAAAAACAGGTATGAACATATATGAACAGCTTGTGAACAATAGTTCCTTCATTATGAACACATTCAGAAGCGATCCTTTGTCAATTGGAGTTTTATACTTGCATTGCATCCACACTGTGTAAGGGTCGTATTACGGTATCTCTTCTCGTCGAACTGAAGAGCCATAGAATCAAAATACTTTTTATTTGGTATTCCCTCCCTACTACATACAAACCATCCTGTTTGTATGTTTCCTTTCTTACTTGTTTTTTTGGCATGAAGACGAACATCAAACCCGACATTGTCCGCGTACGTCTTGTACATCTTTTCCGCTTCATTTATAAATACGAATTGTGCATTGATCTTTGGTTTAAGATCGTCATCAACAATGGGGATAAAATACTTGCTTCCATTTGAACACTCTCCGACATCGTACTCCATTTCATGTTCAGAGGGTGTGAGTTTGTGAACACCTGTTGATACCATCATAGTTAGTAAAATCAATGAACATTTATATTACATAACTGGAGTAATCAACTGCAACAACCAAAAAATAAATTTATTTGGTGCGAGTTAGAGCAATCTTTAGTGACCATGAGATGATTAATGTGAACATATATGAACATGATATTTATTCTGATTAATTAAGTATGTATGTAACCAAAGAAGTTTTAATAAAAAAATGAAAGTTTACACAAATCAACCCACTAAAAACCAAAAAACAACAACTCCAAACCTTTGAGACATATTCTCCCCAATGTGCACCATTAGTTTCAATGTAGTGTTTAGAGAATTGAACCATCACAATCGAGGTGTTAAATATTATACAACATAGAAGTAATTTGAACATAATGAAAAAGGAATCAAACCAGTTAAGTGTAGCCATCTAGTTGTTGCGACAATGATGGATCAAAGACAACATTACAAGGGCCCCACACATAAGTCCTGCTAGAGAATCGACAATTGAATAACTGATATCAACAAGCTGATGAGCGCGACCTTGCCAGCTCTAACCTCTTCCAAAATAGCCCCTTGAGCTACTTGCTTGACTCTAAGCTCATTTACCGTCTCTCTAATCTGTATAGCCCAAGGGGGAGGATTCTCTAGATAACCACCAATTGTAGGTGGTGGCGGTCCGGCACCCCTAGCCAGTGCATCATGTTGAACCTCTGGTGGTGAGCAGTTGCATGTCATCCTCTGTTCCGATATGACCGTCAGTAGGAAGGTTAGGCAGCCCTTGCCTCATGGAATAAGAATTATAGACCATCTTACCTATATCAGATGTAGGTGCCTCAAGGGTAGCCTCATTGAGGCTGCAACGATCCCTGCTCTCCTACAGAAATGAGTATTGAGGCATGGAAAATTGAGGAGACATCGCTTATCACAACCTATCTTAAGGATTTGAGCAAGGATGATGTGCTCGAGATTAAAGTCGATGATCTTCTAGACAGCTTATAGTAGTTGGGCAGTCCCCAAGGAAACAATAGTGCATTGACTTGAAGGTAGCATACTATGCTTGATGAAGATGGACTAGAAATCCATGTATGTGTGTAAGTCGATATGGTTCAACTCTATATCACCAAGGGTCCACATGTTCGAATGATCATGACGTAAGGCAGCAACCAAGTAACCAGTACCTCGATCACATATGACACTGATGGGAAATACCATCATATTATTATAAATCTGGAAGTGTCCGGGTGTGAAGATACTCGTTAATAGATGATGCGGTAAGTACCAACTGAGTGCCTTGAACCCAAACAATATTGTTGTTTTTGAAGACTTCTAGAACCATAGCGGCAAGTTCTTGGGTGGTACTTCTTAGGGGTGCTGGTGAATCGCGCCCAATTTCGGTGTTGAATGGTGGTGGGATAGTAGTATAATTCAGCCCGTTAATCGACACACCTCTACTGGTTAGATATTTATCGCTGGAAAAAATTGGTGTGCCATTCCTCATAAT